AATATCTGCTACTAAAACCCTTTGTGGTGGAGAGCACATATAAGGCTCATTTAGTGGTTTAAACTGTCATTTAGCATATTTTTTTTTCCTTATAGAAGGAAATTGATATTTGGCAGAGGCCCAAATATTAATTTCTCATGCGGTTTTTGATCCCACGATGAGAGCCCGCGTCATGTGTCTAAAATTCCAAAGCTCCCACGCCACGGTGGGATCTCGAACACTTGAGCAAAGGGGACTTACAGTGACCCAACCACCAACAAGCCAAAGCTTGCGACACGTGTGTGTGCGCGCGCGCGCGTGCGTGTGTGTCAAGCCGATAGTTTTAATCAGCTGTAAAAGGTTATGAACCATTATTTAAAATTTAATGGTGGCCTGAATCATTGCCGTAGGTCAAAATAATTACTACAAAAAGTTTTTTTTTTTTTTTTTTCACTTGCACCGGTTATGGCCAAATAGATAAATAAATTCCAATACTGGATTTTATTGTAAGAATATTTACATCATTTGACTCAATTCTTATGTATTTACATATCTAACATGAACATTTCAATTTTTAACTGTGCATTTCACTTTTCAAAAGTTAAATAGTAATATTTTTTATGTGGTATGAAGGATTTGGCATGAAGAGATATATTTCACTTTTTTAAAAGTTTAAAAATGATATTTTTGATGCAATATGAATGATTTGAGTGGTATAAATGTTAAAAGTAGAGTTTGTGTAAAGTATTTAAATACGTAAGAAATAGGGGGTATGTATGTAAAGTACAAGGCAAATGAAGAAAACAAAATTGAAGAGTGAGTTCGTTATTATAAAATCGATCACTATTTTTTTATTAGATATCTTCTATTTTGATCATTTGCCTTATATATTTTTTATGCTTGTTCCAAAGAAAAAATTATAAATCATGGAGCCTAAAATTTCTCTATATTAGTGTTCAATTTTTTTTTTCCCAAAAAATAGTACAAAAAAATATGACAAGTGCTCCAGGTGATATTTTTCTTCAAATGAGAAATCAACAACAAATGAAATTTCTAATTTTATATGAAAATTATTTACTCAAATCTAATTTTTAACCTATTCAATTAATATAAAATATACTTACATACATATCACATTTTTTTTTTTGTATATTTACATATCTAACACCTAAACTTTCCTTTTTGCATACATAACACTCAAACATTTGATATCACAACAAAAATATCATTATCACTAACCTTTTAAAAATGTAATACAGCTTTTAATGCATAGATTTTTAAAATTAATATGTTATTAATGTAAATATTAAATTTTAGGTGTCACATGTGTAAATTCATAAGAAATGTGTGGTATGTATATAAATTTTCATTAATGTAACAAAATTAAGTACAAATTAACAATGAAGATTAAAAAAATTAAGCAAATCATATATATATATTTATATATCTGAAAGTTCGGCTAAAGCTTGAATTGAGCATGAACAGTTTAAAATTTAAACAAGTCAAATTCAAATCAAGAGAAACTCGACTTGACAAGCCTCGATTATAACACAAATCATTTTATGTCATAAAATAATTATGCTATTGTTATTATGTAATCATCTTTCTATTTTAATTAACTTATGTGAGATTTACAAAGACACAATAAAAATCTTATATATTTACATTTTTAACGTCTAAATCTTTATATTATTTACATAACTTCTTAAAGTTTTTAAATCACACCAAAAATACATCCAACATTTTTTTTTTAAAGTGAAATACATCTTTCAATGCATACATTTTAATTGATTTATACAATTATGTATTTACATTTCTAATACCTTAACTTTACTATTTACTTCAATAATTTCCAAAATTTTACCTTAATATTAAAAAAATATCATTAATATTAATTTCTTTAAAAATAAAACGAACTTTTTCTTGCATAAGTTTTAAAGTGATCATCACACGTAAGTCTAGAAGTAAATATCAAAGTTTAGGTTCCAGATTTGTAAATACGTAAATCACACATTTATATTATAATTATGATATTAAAAATGCATCAGAAGCTAATAAGTTACTTACCATTAAGCAAGTTCCGGACTGAACATCACAGACAGGGTAATCTGCAGGGCAGCAGCTGTTGTGATCTTCACAGCAGGTGGCAGCTTCAGCAGGGCCACAA